ATCTCCGATTTTCAGTTTTACCACCTCCCACACGGGTGCAAAGAGGTTTTCTTACCCACACCGGGGGTATATCCCTTCCACCGTTAGAGGACTACTATATCTCACATCATATCACCTTTAAACGTTGGGATTCCTTTGTTCTATTTGTAATCCTATTAGTTAAATATGGTTGGGTACATTTTTAGATTGGTGACTATATAAATTTCTTCTATCGTCCAAGTTATTTGGTATCCTTCCTTCAAACCACACCACTTAAAGTTACCGTCGTGTTGTCAAGATACCCCCGGGGTCGTTGGGTAATGTCTATCATTTGCCTTTACATCACCTTCTTTACCGACCTCCTTTCTTGTTGATCATATGCGAAATTACTTACCTGTACCTTGTTCTCATCTACATGTGTGGTCCGTTCAGGAGTAACCTAGACTGTAATCACAGTTCGACAACCAAGTATGTACCTGCTTACCAAACAACTTTATCGGAGGTCGGCACATCCTTCACTGGGTAATAGGTCACCGAATGCTGATTTTACTTATGATTACATTATATACGTCCTTCCTCCACTTTATTTGGTCCACCCGAAACGATTTTCGCTACAACCCCCTTTTTAAAATCCTATACCACAGCTCCTCTGTCATGTGCGACGGTTGTAGTCTCCCTTCTCGTTTATCTCCAGTTAATTGTTCGGGTTTATTGCGTTGTATATGACTTACGTCCTCTCCTTGTCATCGGTCATATTTTATACAGCTAAATCCTGGGATGACAAAGTCTAATTGAGGTCGTAACCAGGTTTCTTGCACACATATTACCTCAGGGACCACCTCTAGCTCATATATATATTTCTTGAATTCTTGACCATTAGCTATGAGGCTTCTTGCGTTCCACTGTAGTATGTGCAGAACCATGATACGGATCTAACCCTCATCCTGATTTTCATTTTCCCAAGCTCCATTTATAGCTAACATTGCATGTATCTGATCTGCTTTAATATCTTTCATGTCTAGGAATTTTCCAGCTGCCTCCACAATGGCTTTGATTCTATCACTTTTCTTTTTTAACTGTAATGCAACATTTACAGTATGGCATATGAATACCACCAAATTCACCTTTTTCACTCCTAGAACATCATCATCCTCTTTACTCTTGGTGGCGCTGTGGGGTTGGATTTGAAGATTACTTTTTGGTGTGTTCCTGCCATTTTGTATTGTAATGCTCTGCTCCATTACACTAGGGGTCTTATTGATTGTTATCGTTCCCCTTACTTTCTTTACTGCTTCTGCGTATGAAACTTTGTTTGTAATCTTAACCCCGCCCGCGCCCCTGAATGACGTCATCGCGGTAAAACGTCTGTGAAAGCGTGCGCGCCGCCCCGAGAGGAAGAGCTACACGCGTGATGTTTGGGACATAATGGTGGATAGCTAGGGACGATACGAGTTGCTTATCAGCTGTTGCCATATTTTCCAGTTGTTGTCTTGGACCCATCGGCTCGAGAGCCGCCCGCTGCCACTTCCCGCTCGGACAGAACGACGCTCAGGACTGCATCAAAATGCCAAACATCAAAATATTTAGCGGTAGCTCACATCCGGACCTATCTCAGAAAATAGCAGACCGCCTGGGTCTGGAGCTGGGGAAGGTTGTTACCAAGAAATTTAGCAACCAAGAAACATGGTGAGTTGTTGTAGCTTTTAAAAACAAGCCTAGAACCAGAGGTACACCTGATACGCAAATGTCGTAGCCCAGCGACATTTAACGTTATTAAATAGAAACGTGGTGTCATGGTGAAATTGCCGCGCAGTGTTGTTAGGAACTTGTAGTCCACCACGCATGGCTAGGAACTCATGCTAACTCACAAGCTGTCTGGTGGTTCTTCTGGGCCACAAAGCCATCTTACTGGCCTCAAAACTGAAATAATAATGTCCTATCACAATGATAATATTTGGCTCATATATGCAGCTCAACTCCACGAAGTTAACCTCTATTAAGACAAAAAAAGCCAGTGTTTACTGTGTCATTTATCTCCTGCTTGACATGGTGTGTTAACTCCTTCGCACTAACTGCAGTTTGTTTTGTCACCTCCCTCCTGGCAGTGTGGAAATAGGGGAGAGCGTCCGTGGGGAAGATGTCTATATAGTGCAGAGTGGCTGTGGGGAGATCAATGACAATTTGATGGAGCTGCTGATCATGATCAACGCCTGCAAGATCGCCTCTGCCTCCAGGGTCACAGCTGTCATCCCCTGCTTTCCGTATGCCCGGCAAGACAAGAAGGACAAGGTGGGGGTGAGGGATATCTGTCTAATTACTTCAGTCATGCCATTTGCCATCCAGCATCATGACGAGAAGCCTGCAGCCCTGTCCATCAGTAACTGCTTGACAAGCCGTATTCCCTTTTTGTATTGGTTTGTTTTCCTTTTCTCGTTTTCCTTATGCTTTGCTGAATCAACTCCATCGCTTTTTGTTGTTTTCCTGTATCTATCCTGCTCATTGTCTGTTATATTTCAACATTTGAATGATATTTGCATATATGGGATTGTTTTTACTATAACATCTAATCTGTTAAGAATTACTATGATGCAAGAAAAAAAAAGATTGTATCATACCTGTTGTGTATTATATTGCAATCTAGGTTTTATTCCTTCTATTTTATAGGCAAAATTGCAGTTGGGCCAAACATTTATTTTGAACTTATGTTACTGATCCAAATGATGAGGAATGTCTGTTCAGCCATCTTATGTACATCCTGGTGATATTTGCATATTACCTATCAATGGTCAAACTATTTTTAAATCAGTGGAATTTTTTATTTTTAGAAGCGAGCCATGCTTGCCTGTTTGGTTATTTCATATGGCTGAGTAGATCTATTTGTGTTGCAGAGCCGTGCTCCTATCTCTGCCAAGCTGGTTGCCAACATGCTGTCGGTGTCAGGCGCTGACCATATCATCACTATGGATTTGCATGCCTCACAGATACAGGTGAGCAGCACAAAAGCAAGACCTAAACAGCAGTAGCATGAGTATCCTGCCATTAATCTGTCATATGGCTTCAAAGGACCTACATTAGAAACGCGACTTTCACAGTCTTGACTTCACATAGATGTCAACAGAGATCAAAGGGAGATATGAGCCTTTTATCGGTCCTTCCAGCACATGTTGAGCTCCTGTGAACCCAGCTCATGTACCTCTTGTCTTTTTACAGGGGTTCTTTGATATTCCTGTGGATAACTTGTATGCAGAGCCAGCCGTGCTGAAATGGATCAAGGAGAACATCCCTGAATGGAAAAACTGTACCATTGTGTCACCTGACGCCGGAGGAGCCAAGAGGTAGTCGTTGTACCCTTGAGCATCTCCTCTGAAATGTTTTTTAGATTAATCTTTTGTATGCTTTGCTTATCACTGACAAGGCTCTGAATTGACTGCGTTATACACTTTGGCACTTACACTTTGGACATTATTCTTTCCTTCTGCAGGGTCACCTCAATAGCAGACAGACTGAATGTGGATTTTGCCCTTATTCACAAGGAGAGGAAAAAGGCAAATGAGGTGGACCGCATGGTTCTCGTTGGAGACGTGACAGATCGGGTCGCCATTCTAGTAGATGACATGGCCGACACGTGTGGCACCATCTGTCACGCTGCTGACAAGTAAGCCCCATACAAATAGTCTTGAAAACCGGCATTGGGATGCTGCGATTCTGTCCTGATGTCAAACTAACTTGGAAACAGATCATGACTGGATTCAATTCAGAGACCTCTATTCAGAATATATCCATGTCATGTGGAGTTTTGTCATTCATTATGCTGTTTCTATCCCTTAGGCTGATTTCGGCTGGTGCCACCAAGGTGTATGCCATCCTAACCCATGGCATCTTCTCCGGCCCAGCTATCTCACGCATCAACAATGCATGCTTTGAAGCTGTGGTGGTCACCAATACAATCCCTCAGGAAGAGAAGATGAAGCATTGTCCCAAAATACAGGTCAGGATACAGCATGTACCAGGGTTTGAGTAAAGGTTGCATTTTGAATCTGAAAAAGAAGCAATATCCTGAGCCAAAAGGATGTAACGAAAAATAATGATATAAAATGTAGCCGTATTTAAAGTAATATTATTCAGAGGCGCAACTCCTCTGTTTGAGCAATGATATTTTGAAATTGTAACTTTTAGTTCATAAATTACTTTTTTGCCATTATACAAATCATCCAGTCCAGCTATATTCACAAGCTCTTCTCCTCTCTCCCTCCAGGTTATTGACATCTCCATGATTCTCGCAGAGTCCATCCGTAGAACTCACAACGGCGAGTCTGTGTCGTACCTGTTCAGCCACGTCCCCTTGTAACAAATGATGGCTCCCATCTAACTGTGTGGTGTTCCACCAAATAAGAGAAGAGGGAATACCTTAACCCAAACATAGCAACATTTTCTGTTAACTTACTATGAAAGAAAACTGATATCATGTCTGTTACTAACGCTGACCCCGTCACTCCCTTGAGCTGTTTATCTTCATGTCTGGCACCAAAGCAATCGCAAGCAGCTAGGCCAGAATATTTATTGTACTTGGATGATTAAGTGTTTATCCACAGTGAACGTTGTCCCCTCTCTCATAGAACTAAGGAACAGAGTTTCTTCTGACCAATTCACTTCTCCAGAAGTCATTTCAATCTAGTCTAAAGAGCTTGTGGTTGTCAGGAGAAGCATCTGCCATATAAAACTGTTACAGTGCTTTCTGTTACAATGACTGAGTGTAGTTTTTAAGGTTGCTCCTGTATCCTCTGCCGTTTGGACGATGATAATTCATGAAGTGAATGTGTAGTGAAGTAGTTTACAGTGCCGCTGAAGCTCCACTCAACCAAGAGTGCCTCAACAGTCTGAAATTGAATGCATTTTTCCTCCAGCCTTCTCCTGTCCCCTCCCTTTTTTTTTTTAGCTGTGCTTATTTTTCTCCCCCAACGACTAACTTTTACATCTCATCAGGCTGTAAAGATGTTCTGGATGTTTGTTTTTGACTCTTGAGGTGCACTCCATTGAGTGGGGTTTGTCCAGGGTTTACCCGTCGAGGTTCGGCGTTGAAGGTCTTTCTATAAAGAAGCTCTCTGGTTTTTAGTTTAGGGTCTCTGCAGGCTGGAGCTCAGAAATGTTCACCTGCTTTTATTTTTTTTATGTCTGGAGGAAGGATTTTTCGATGTGCATATTCAAAACCGTACTGTTTACTTTTTCAATAAGGTGAATTCTTGGTTGGCATCTAAGGATGAGTTCTTAATAAAATGATTTGTAACCTTAAATGTGGCACTATTTCTGATAACAATATGTCATACATAAATGCATATTCCCTTGCATAATTGCTAATACAACGTATATGCAACCAGGATCATACAGGGCAATAACTGTTTTATTTAACAGACAATTCACAATACCTTTTTGCAGGGGCTAAACGCTGTCTGTGAATCAATGACATTTATATTTGAATAACGGGTAACTTGGAGAAGTCTTCTAAACAGCATTCAGTTGATAGCAATAACATTTAAAATGGAAAAGTATGTATAAAATAAGTAGGATAAGATTTTTCATTGGGAACACGCCCTAGTACGGTAGAAGACAACAAGTTGATCGACAGACGAAACAACCAATCGCCCGCCGCGCAACGTATACCGTCTTGGCCAATGATATTAAGAGGCGGGCCCTCACGTACACCGGCAGATGCTCAGTGCGCCCGTTTACGAGCGTCATACATTGACCTGATTGACGGATGCTTCACAGTTTTCTCTGTATTAAGGTCAACACATGTAGAAAAGGTGTTGCCATCGTAACTTCATTAATAACGAGAGATAAGCTCCATCCAAGTGCAGTCCAAGGAAACAAAGACGCCTTTGCTTCTCCATCACTGAACAGAGGGAAATGTAAAGGAACTACGCTATATAATCGTTATCGTTTAGCTTTTTCTCTGTTTACTAACGGCTTGCTGGGTAAGTAAAGATGAAATACATTTCATCTCTGATATAATTTCTTTATATTTTATTTACTATGTAGCATAGGTGTATTTATTCTGCAGAGTTCCAACCTGGTAACCTATGTTTTTTGTTTCAGTTTTAGTTTCAGTCTACATATTTCCTGTATTTTTTCATTTTTATATATTTATATAAACATGTTAATATTTGCTGATTACTGACAGTTTACTGCGTAAATAAATTCATTTATGATATTTTATTTGAGTGTAACTTATTTCTCTGGTTTCCTGCTCTAGTTCCTGTTCCATCCTCGGTTGTCAGCATCAGTCCAGCTATCCTGCATTGAGGCGACACTGAAGTGATTTGTGGTCAATTTGTACTCAGCTCAGGAATGGCAGGAAGCCTTAAACCTAAACAAGATGAAGAGGGCTGCCGGGATCAGATGGTGCGTTCCAACACCTTCTTTCACGGGGGGACCTCAAGTTTACTCTCCACCATCATCACTTTTCCGGTCTACAAAACGGTTTTCCGTCAACAAATCCACAACGCTGGTGTTTCTGAGGTAGTGAGGCAGCTTTACAGTGAGGGACATGTAAAGCTCTACAGGGGCGTGGTCTCACCACTTCTGATGAAGACCCTGGGTAATACTCTGCTCTTTGGCCTCCAGGACACCATCCTCCATCAGTTCACCCCATCATCTCAGAATCTCATCTCCCCCTCAGCCCTGCCTGCTCTGGCTGGGTTTGGTGCAGGCATGGTAGAAGCTGTTGTTTGTACCCCCCTTGAGCGTGTCCAGAGTGTGTTGCAAAATGGCAAAAACGACCGCAATTTACCCACCCACAAAAGTATTCTTGTCAGGCTGAACGCACAGAAGCGGTCCTCAGGGTACTACAGAGGCCTTCTGCCCATCACAGCCCGCAATGCTCTTGGCAGCTTTATCTACTTTGGCTTGAAGGAACCGTTGAAGGCTGCCGTGGAGGGGCGGGGGCTGTCTCCAGTGGTTTCCTCCTTCATCTCAGGGGTGCTGAGCTCCATGGTTATCAGCTTGCCTCTCTATCCACTGACTGTGTTGGCAGCAAACATGCAGAAACAGGTGGGAGGGGAGGATAAAGCGGTCATGGCTTCATGGAAGACGCTGTGGGAATCTCGGCAGCGGAGTGTGGCTCTGCTGTACAGAGGAGGTTCTCTGGTTGTTTTGAGATCAGGCATTTCATGGGGAATCACCACTGCTATCTATGACATGCAGCAGAAATATTCAGGCTGAAGGGCAGTTCAAACCCTCCAAACCCTACTTTCATGAGGTACTGTAATCATTGTCTTTTCACTGTAGACATTTTGGCCTGTCATAGTAGAAAAAGCATATGGATTTTAATTGGTTGTGATCAATTCATGTGTCACCCTAAACTGTGCCATCTATCTCACATGAAAATACCCTGAAGCTGAACCATCTAAAAGGAATTTTTATTATTTACACCTCTGCTTTTCCTTCTGCTACATGTCAAAAAGGTTTTGGTGGAAAAGTTCAATGGAAATTGCAAGTTTAGCCATGATGCATAGTTCAAATCAACACATACTGCCAATCTTTGTCAGAATGCCAAAGCCAGGGGAAATCTCCACTGCCAGGACTTGAACCAAGGTCTCTATAGTGGTTGCTGAATATGAATCATCAACAAATTTGAATACAGTAATAATATACTTCTATATTGTGGGCATGGAGAGGGTTGCAACAGTTTGAAAGATTTTCACATTTTGATAACCATCTCAGAAAATATCCCAATTTTACAGTACGGTTTAGAATTATAATAATAAACTTGAGAACAATATAAAAATAACTTTTGTTTTTAAAAACACTTTAACATGTCATGTAACTAAAGCGTGTTAAATGACAATGTAGCAACACTATTATCTCCGTCTTCTTTCATCAATACTGTAGAACAGCAAATGATAAATGTCAACTGTCATTCAGGTAAACCTTGAAACATGTACCGCTCCAATCTTACTCGTGAATCCCAGGTGCCTTGTATTTTTTATGTCTTGTAGAGAGATTTCATCAACTAACCTCCTCAAAGCTAGTTTACTCATCAGGGGAAGTACAGCTCAGGCGAAAAAGTGTTTTTATTGTCCTCTAGGCCTCTTGAGGAACTATTATTTTTACCTAATGGTAGCTTGTAGATACAGTTTATAGCAGTAACCCACATTATGAATTTGGGTGTGGATTTTGTAAAATATGGATTCCAGCAAGGCAGGATCTAAAGAAAATTGGCTTCAGTATGAAAAAGTAGCATTCCTAACTTTAGGGCTGGACCCAAAAGGAAGTGAAGGTCAGAATATTGACCCCTGTTGCCTTGAACACGTCTTTTAAAGTGCTTCATCATTTGACCATTAACTGCATAAAGGGAGATCAAACCATTTGTATTGTGTAATGTCAAAAGATTTGTGAATGTATGATAAAGAGGATGCATGTGAGTTGGAGCACAGGAACAAATAAGACAAAGTTGTACAACACTGTTGCCTCAGCAAGAAGATACTGAGCTATAATGCCGTTGGTGCTGTCCTGTGTGGAGTATGCATGTTCTCCCCTTGTCTGCATAAAGGATACATAGACATGCAGGTTACATTAGTCAGAAACTAAATATAAATATGTTATCATGTTTTGTCTTTGCTTAAAATAATCTTGATTTATCCCCGGGTGAAATCTTCCAGATTGAATAGCTGCAACATTAAAGTGAGGATCTCTCAGAATTATAATCCATTATATAATATACATTAAGAAATGGGTCATACTGCTCATACTTTTACCGGAGTACATTTTGAATGCAGGACTTTTACTTTTAAAACGTTTCTACTTTGTGGTATTACTATTCTTTGAGTATACTTGAGTACTGTTGTGTGTACACCTCTGAACCTGCGCCTTTACTTTCTTCTAGTTTACCAGAACAACCTCATATTATATTTTTTCAGAATACAAACTGTTTCATCAAAGTGCATTAAAAAAATCAATCTTATTGGCCAAATAGTTTTGTGTTTTTTGTGAAGTAGCCTACATCTTACTATTGTCCTATTGAAAATGACTTTTGTCAAACCATGTTATGTCTCAACCAGTCCAGTAGATGGTATGTGTGTGTTAAAAATGAAAAAGCATCCAGATCCATGACAATGGGATCCCAGTGTTCGTGCATTTTTCCACTAAGGTACGGGGCGGAGGAACAAATGATTGAACAGATAACAGCATTCCTTGGCAAGAACAGGCAGCTGTCCAGGCCCAGGCAGCAGCCTGTCATATTTCAGGGAAGTCAAGCAGCAAGCGTGTCCAATCAAATTTCTTCCTGCTTTGGGAGCCAATCAGAGCCATCATATCGGTGTCCATGGCGTACAGAAGGGTGTGTTGACTCTACTTAAACCGTTGTCTTTTCCCAAATTACGCAGAAGCATTCATTTTACCCGTAAAGAATCTACGCACATCTGCACCAGGTAAAGTTTTTCGGAATGTTCTCTGTTTTTCAGCTCGACCACTAAAAAAAGATACCTAACTATTGTTATGCAAGGATCATTTTTTCCAAGGAAATGCGTTTTAGGCTTCAAAGGCGTGTTGGAGTTTTTCTCCTGCGCCACAGACTTTTCATACAGTTAGTTTCCTGTTTATTTCCTCTGTTAACTGTGCTGTGTGTAGTCCACCTGGAAGCGCTGAATTCCTCAGCAGGCAGGCTGTTTTACTGCATGAGTTTGTTTGTTCTGAAGGTTATAAAGTTTGTTTCTTGCGACTGGCTCGCATTACTCCAGAGTTAAGCCAAGTTCTGTTTTTTTCTTAACTGAGGTGGGGCTTTCTTTGTAAACCCGCATGGGCATGCCCTGCAGACAAAATACATTTTTTGTGATTAAATGTCAAAGGGCTCATGTTTTGATGCTTTCTTCTGCGTTCTTTTAACAGTTTTTGATGCCCCCTTTTTTTTTTTTTAGCATGTTTTGCTTTTGATCCTCATGTTAGCTCTTTTTCGCTCCCACTTCCTCCCATTAGACATCTTCCAAAATGAGCGCCAAATGTCCAATCAAGCAGGAAGTGATGGACTTTAATAAGGGAAAACTGAAGAGGACTGAAACTGCCGAAAAGAACACTCTTCCAACGGAGAAGGGTAGGTGTTCAAAACAAGTGTGCTCCCATTTAAAAAAATAAAACTCATCCGCCCTTCACCAAGGTTTTCCACTTCCTATGGTCTATGTTAGTCATACATAAACTCCTCCCTGCCGATCTTTATCAAGGCAACGGCAAACATGTATTACTGATAAATTGCATGTACACACCCAACCACCTGAGAGCTCTCCTTGTTCTGTTTAAGGCCAACCTGTTCAGTGGAAAAACATAACCCCACCCTCATCTGTGTATTATATGACTTCTGTCTCTTTTGAAATGTTTATTATATGAAGCTTCATGCCAATGGCACTGGGGGTTGAAAAAGAAAATTGCAGCCACTTCATGCAAATAGTCCAAAAGAGGCCCAGGTGTGCTGTGCAGTAGAAAAGCCTGATTTTTAGATCTGGTGTGACCTGACTCAGCAGGAAGAGGGGAGTTTAAGTTAAAGCGTGGCAAAATGCTCATGTCGGCTTTACCCTGAGTCGTTAATGGCAATTTTTCCTGTAGAGCTATTCTATGTTGCTCTGAAATGATTGTGCCGGTGTTTAATATTGCTTTAGCACAATGTGGATCTTTTACTTTCCAGTATTACCTTAGTTTCAAGCATTACATTGAGAATATGTTGCTTAAAATAGATATTGTAGACTTTTCCCATGTAAATAGATTGACTTTTCTCAGCTTAAGTTACAATTAAACTATGCTTGAGATGTGACCATAACCATAAAAGTTGCCTTCTTCACAGTTTTGAGTGAATCATATTGTATAACTGTAATCATATATTTGTTTACTTCCCTGAGTCTTCAGACCTCTAAGTTCATAGCTTCATGTTGCTGATGAGAGCATAGGCATAAAATACATTTAAAAGGGGCCACTCCATACTTAGTTAAATTGTCTTGAGGATAACTTTACAGTATGCGGAAAAACTATTCAAAATGTCTTCTGTGTGACTTTATGGAGCTGTGTAAAACTGGTTATGAGGTGTGGGGGTTGAAAAGGCACTGACATTGTGCATGCATTCACCTCATAAAGATGCTTATAATTTGCATTATGGAAAATGTAATGAAATGTAAAGATATATCTGCAGATTTTTTTAAATAATTTGTTTGTCTATTGCAAAAGAGTCCCCCCTTCACACACACACACACACACACACACACACACACACACACACACACACACACAAAATCAGAAAGACCATTGACAGGCAGTTCTTTATTCTTAATCGTAACAGAGCCAAACTCATGACTGGATCCATGTGTCGCCCAAGCTGCTTCAATGTCAAATCTCACCCACCATGCAGAGTCTTTGACACTGCTGCTTTAGATTACTGTTCTGTGGTGGTACATAGACTTTTTAAATGAATGCTTCAGGGTGATAATGTTTAAACACAGTGCTACATCAGTTCTCTCTTTTGATCACACAGTAATTTGTGATGAGAATACCGCCATTGAAGAGGTAAGTTCCAGAAACGTACCTTCCGCAATTCTTCTCTTTCAGTCCTGCTCTTCTTCCATTTAGGAATCCTATCCTTCACCTCAATCTCTGCTTGTACATTTCTCTGACACTCTAGTGCTTAAAGTAGATCCTGCGCAGAATACATGGTCTTCTTGCTTTGGTCTTTTATCTTCTGGAAAAAACCTTATGTCCTCAAACTTTCTTCCCCACTCGGCCACAGCTTTCCTTCACTTTCATATCTTCCCTGAGGTTTGATGGGGTTTGGGATTGTAGTGCAGACTACATCTTGAATGATGAAATACAAATGGGAGCATGTCTTCATTCTTTCATCTGCATTCTCTTATAATTTGTACAGGCCATGTCAATATTCAAGATCTGTGTTTTGATTTTTGCTCTCCCACTTTTTTCCATTAGATGTGTGCCAAAGTGCCACTCAATAAGGAGTTGGAAGGGTTTAAAAAGGACCACCTCAAGAAGGCAGAAATGAAAGAAAAAAACCCTCTCCCAACTCCTGAGGGTAAGGGGAAAGAGGTGTACTTCAATTCAGGCTTTAGCTTACACTCCTTATTTGACATAGTCCCTCCCTGCCATTATTATGAAGATAAGATAAGCCTTCATTGATTCCCCAGGTGGGAAATTCCAGTGTTGCAACAGCACAAAGATAGAAGATAGTCTATGTAAATGGAGAAGTAAAACAATAATAAAAAAGAAGAGGACCGTAAGGTTACGTAAAGCAATAATAATAACAAATGTTGTTAGATATAGTAGAGCTGTATGGCTGGACAGTTTCCTTTTTTTCAGGTCCATGACTTATTATTATTATTGATGGAGACGGTTACCGGTCAGGTACAATTTGCAGGAGCATCAACACTTAAAATAATACTAACTTCATCACTAGACTTTGTTTGAATGCCCATAAGAATATATTTAATGCTGCAAAATAAACTTTTTAAACATAATCTTTGAAAAAAGAAAACTCTCTTGCTCTTACCATGCCCACACCTTCTTTTCAGAGTGTTGCTCTGTATTTGCTTTGGTTTATGAGTAGGTGTGTAAACTACTCTGCAGAATGGATCCCACCAGCCTCTAGCAACTCTAGTAATTATGAAAGGAGCAAAGGCCAAACACGTGTCGGTGTCTTAAAGTGTCACTTTCAGTTTACAAACGTAGTAATTTGAACCCAAACCACAATAGTTTCCTACACCCAAACGACTAGTTTTCTTGCCTGCACCTATTTATTTTGTTTGTGTTCAAAACATTACACCAGTGATACAAATAGATCATCTTATATATGTCCCTGTCTCTCTTGTGATCACACAGTAATTAAGGACGAGAAGATCGCCATCGAAGAGGTAAGTTCCAGAAACGTACCTGCGTTTATACCTGCACTTTCATTTAGTTCCGTCACCTGGGCCTTTGCTTGTGAATTTCTCTGACACTCTACTGCTATGAGTAGATTTGACAATGTATCTTCTGGAAAAACATTATGTCCCACTTGGACACAACTTTCCTTCACTTTAATTTCTACTCTTGTAATTTTTACAGGGCATGCTAATATTCAAGATCTGTGTTTTTGATGTTTGCTCTCTCACGCTCACACCCTCTTTCCCATTAGAAATGTGCCAAAGAACCACTCAATAAAGAGTTGGAAAGCTTTAAAAAGGACAACCTCAAGAAGGCGGAAATGAAAGAAAAAAACCCTCTCCCAACTATTGAGGGTAGGTTTTAAGCTATTTGAACCCAAACCACAGTGTTTTCCTTAATGTGAACAAGTAGTTCTGTTTCCTAGACTTTGGGTGGTTTGGTTTGTGTTCAAAAGATTACATCCCTGTTACATTGATCATCTTATCTGTCTCTTTTGATCACACAGTAATTGATGCAGAGAAGACAGCCATCGAAGAGGTAAGTTCCAGAACGTGCTGTGATTCCTCTCTTTCAGTCCTGCTCTTTCTCGAATGACAAATCAAGTCAATCATCCCCGCCTCTATTTTCTGTGATCTAACACTGTATTGCTACAAGCTGACAATGTTTAGCTGCAGTTTGGTTTTTGGCAATTTTTCCTAATCTCTTTCTTAACCACAACACAAAAATGTAGCTTTCTGTTCAAGTAGGGCGTTCTAATCCCCATACACACTCTTGTGGAACTGAACACCTGTAAATAACAGAGT